TATAGTTTTGATACACTGAATTGAATCTTTGCTAAAACCAAATCGCTCTAACACTAAATATAAGAAATTCCAATTCACACTATCAAAAGCCTTTTCAGCATCAAGACTTATCAGCATAGCACTCATTCCTTTCTTTTGTATTGAATTTATAACATGCAGAGTTCTTCTGATGTTGTCTTGCGTTTGACGACCTATGATAAAGCCTGTTTGATCTTCATCAATTAGATCTGGCATAAATGTCCTATATCTTTTAGTAATAACAGAGGTATATATCTTGTAGTCTACATTGAGAAGAGATATAGGACGAAAATTGCTACAGTACTCTGGATCTTTCCCATCTTTGGGAATTAATGATATTATTGTATCTTTCCATGAAGGTGGCAACTGTCCTTCTTTAAGGGTCCAGTTAAAAGATGAAGTAAGTAGGGGGGTTAATTCTTTTCTAAAAGTCCTATACCATTCTGCTGGAAAACCATCAACACCTGGAGACTTATTAGCCTTAAGTCTGGATATGGCTTCAGATACTTCTTCAGGTGTAATAGTAGCTTTGAGATTTTTGTTCTGTGATTCTCCGATAGATGGTAGGTCAAGAGAGTTGAGGAAATGTCTAATTGTTATCTCGTCTGAAGCAGGAGGTTGTGTATATAGATTTTTATAGTAATTCTTAAACACTCTCTCAATTTCTTTTGGATTATGCAGTTGTCGGTCAGAACAGGGATCCCTGACCTTGTGTATTGTGGTTGAAGCCTGTAGTTTACGTATCTGTCTTGCTAGTAATCTAGTAGCCTTGGCCCCTGTCTCATAATATGCCTGCTTTAAAAATCTTAGTTTTTTCTCTACCTCCCCTCTTAAAATATTATCTATTTCTCCTTGAGTGGTCTTCATTTGCTGTAAGATATGTGTTTGTTTGGTATTTTGATATTGTATTTCTAAGCTTCTTAATTTCTCAGTCAGTTCAGAATATGTAGCTTGTTTTAACTTCTTTTGAAGAGAGGTAAGTGCTATCAACTTTCCCCGTATAACAGCTTTCAGGGCATCCCATAAAATAGTAGGGTTAATTTCTTCTGTATCATTTTCCTCAATATATCTCCTAACTTCTGTTTTAATCTGTTCAATTATTGTTTTATTGTTCAAAATACTTACATTAAGTCTCCAGGTGGTGTTTTTCTGTGTATTGCCCAAACGTATATCTAGACAGATAGCATTATGGTCTGATATATCGGCCGCCCCAATTTTACAATCTGTTACCCTATGTAATTCCCAGCTATTAATGAATATATAGTCAATTCTTGAGTGAGTGTTATGTGGGATGGAATAATGTGTATAGTCTTTTCCTGATGGGTGGAGTTCCCTCCAGACATCTATCATTCCTTGTTCCTTTAAAGAAGTATTCATAAATTTCCTCATGTGTATCTTATTCCTTTTAAGACTTGTGTCTAGACTGTAATCTAATATTACATTAAAATCTCCCCCACAAATCACAATGCCTTCTGATTCGGAGTCAATTATTTTAAATAGGGATTTAAAAAAATGTTTATCACTATCTGGTGGGGCATATATATTAACCAATGTTACTTTTTCATGTTCTAGTTTTCCCTTAACAATAACATATCTGCCTTCCTTGTCACTGATTTCCTTAGAGCATTCAAAAGCGACAGAATTTTGAATAAGAATTGCTACCCCCCTCTTATGGCTCTGCCTGTGTGTACTATAGAATGTGTTTCTAAATCCAAATTTTTTCAGCTTCTCATGTTCCCCCTTAGCTAAATGAGTTTCTTGAATAAATATTATATGTGCTTTAAGCTTCCTCATTTTAAGAATTACTTTGCTTCTTTTGATTGGGTTATTCATTCCATTGACATTCAATGACACCATTTTAATAACATTCATGTTATTCCTATCAAACATTTGCGACTCATTCTGTATCCGTGACAACCGTTAACAATAACATAAGCCATGAGAACGTCTGGCGACTCAATAAAGGAAAAAAAATAGGGTGACTTCCAAAGGTGGGTGCATCTACTGCGCACCTCCCACGCTGTTTTCGTGGGTCGAGGGGAATATCTCACGAGATGTGGGGGCCCCTCTCTAGCAGCGAGAGACGGTTTTACTAGTCTCAAACTCTCACACATTCTAGCAAAGTCCAGCTCAACTTGTCTAAGAAAAGTCCCGATCAAACTTGAACTGACAGCAAAGACCGTCTAACTTGAACTATTTAACTTTAGCGTTACGTTAAACTGAACATATTAATATAATTACACCAGTCGAGCATGTATATCACTTACGTCTCCTCGTCTCTACTTTGATATTTATAGCTTACCTAGCCTTTACTAGCCAGTCAGCATATACCAAGCATATCTATTATTTCCTTTGAAATTCTTGTAGTTTTTGCTTAGCTCGCTCGGACGTTGATCGATCACCAGAGTTTCCAGCTCGCTGCCACTGCAGCGCGCGCTGAAGCCGCTCGTTCATCCCCACCATGGAAGTGGTGTTGTCGGGAATTTGGACATCGAACCCTTTCCTCCTCAGGTCCTGTGCACCTTCTTGTGCGCTCCCGTACGTCCGCGGGCCGGAGTCCCAATGGATTCTCATCTTGGTCAGGGGGGTCTGGAAGCGAATTCCTTTTTCTTTCAAGACTTTCTTTATTCCGATGTATTCCCTGCGTTTCTGGTTTACTTCTGTGGCATAGTCATGATCGAAAGACAGCGTCCGACCCTGATAGTGCATCTTTTTCTGCCAGGCTTTTCTCAAAACCATCTCCTTTACCTTGTACTGGAGGAAATTCACGACAGTAGATCTTGGGGGTTGGTCTGGGCTTGGCTTCGGTGCTAATGCTCTGTGTGCCCGCTGGATTTGCAGATCAATTTCGGCGGGTATGGAGAGCTCGGTTCTCAATAGCTGTTCAACGAACTGAGGCATGGAGCTTCCCTCTACGCTCTCCGCCAGGCCGAAAATGCGAATATTATTGCGTCTGCTTCTACCCTCTTGGTCTGTGAGCTTCTCCTGTATGGTCCTCTGCTGTTTCAGCGTTTGAAGAAGAGCGTCCCTGACCTCCATATTCCACATTTCAGTTTCGCCCATTCTATGCTCCATTTCCTCAATTCTTGTAGCTTGTGATGCTAGCTCTGTGGCCGTCTCTGTGAGCCTCTGGTTGATACCTATTTTGAAATTTTCGAGTTCTTCTCTCATTTCTTTTTTGAATTCCTTTTTGAATGCATCCAGGTCAGACCTTAATTCAGTTTTCAAGTCGTGAATTTCTCTGACAACATCTTTCAGACCTGAGCGGAGAACAGCAGTCGTTTCAGTTTCCATGTGCTCACCCTCAGTACCGCTATCGTCCGCCTCCGACATGTTGCCCTCGTCTTCTTTATCCGTCGCTTCAGTTTGTTTTTCAGAGTTTTTGGTCTTTCTGCGTCTTCTTGTTCTCCCTCCCCGTTCCATTACAGGTTTAAAGTGTTTTCTTTTAATTAAATGTGAATTCAGGGAATCTTTTTTCTTTTAGTGAGCGGGAGCTAGTCCTTTACGCCGCCATCATCGACTACGTCCAAACTGAAGTCCGTCTCAATATCTTTAATGTGATTGAGTGCATCAAATATAGCACCCTCCACAAGTACTGGCACCCCTGGTAAACATGAGCAAAAACTCTGAGGTCCACTCTTGTGGACTCTCCTCTTCAGCTCAAACCCCTAGGTTATCTCTGGGGATTAGTTCAGGGGATTGGGATGGCCAGGAAAAACCTTGATTCTATGGTCAGCGAACCATTTTTGTGTTGATTTTGAGGTTTGTTTTGAATCATTGCCCTGCAGGAAGATCCAACCCTGACCCAGTTTAAGCATCCTGGCTGAAGCAATCAGATTTTAATATCCGCTGGTACTTGATGGAGTCCATGATATGTGAACAAGGTGTCCAAGAAAAACAGCCCCATAATATCACAGATCCAACACCATACTTCACAGCGGGGATGAGGTGTTTTCTGCATGTTGTCCATACGCCAAACCTTAAGTACGTCTGATATTTGCTGACAAAAGCTCTATTTAAATCTCATCTGACCACAGAATATGGTTCTTTGACAGCAAAGGCTTTCTTCTGGATCCCTCCCAACAACTTGTGGTTACGTATGTGCTGTCCAATCGTAGTTTGGGAGATGTTCTGTTCCCAAATAGTGTCTGCAATTCACCAGCTGTGATGGAGATTTTTTTGTCATGCAAACTATCCTCTTCACTGTGCAGAGGGTCAATATAGTCCCATGTCCACTTGCTGGCGGATTCTAAACATCTCCAGTTGCTTTAAAATTCTTAATTATTGCCCTGATGGTGGAAATCTATTTACAACTTTTTAGCTATATTCTTGTAGCCATTTCTTAACTTGTGCATCTCAACAACCGTTTGTTGCACATCACTGCTATATTCTCTGGTCTTTCTCATAGTGATGGATGATTATGGGAACTTGGCCTATGTGCTACCACATATTTATACCCCGGTGAAACAGGAAGTCGCGGCTGACCATTTAAGTATTCCTAATCACTCAAGTGAACTTTAAAACATAAAAACATGAATGGGAATATACTTCAGGTAGATTTAATTAAAAATTCTAGAGATGCAAATAATTGTGGCACATACATTTCAGAAACATATTTATGATAACTCTTAGGTTTCGTCTTTTAATAATTGCACTTCAAATAAAGGTTAGAATTTTGTTTTTCTGTTTTGCTCATATTTACCAAGGGTCCCACTATTTGTGAAGAGGCACTATACATATTGTACACTGCTAAGTCAGTAAAAGACAGTATTGCAGTATCTGACATGCCTCCTATCTCATTGTCAACCTTGTACATATTCTATTTCTTGTGCCAACCCAAAATCATTTTGCTGGTCTCCTCCCTTTCATCTGTACAGGCGCAGGAGTACTTAGCAGGAGAAATCAATTACAGATCACAGTCAGCTTATTTGTATCCAACAAGGAAAGAGCAAATATTCTAAATAACTCCAAAAACTCCATTCTTATTCTTAATTGTCATTTATTTATTCATTTTTTCATTTTTTCAAGTTGATGTATTTATAATACAACAAAGTTATTGTTTGGGCCCTAATCAAATGAACTGTAATAAGAAAATACTACTGTTATAACAAAATTCAACCAAACAGTTCAAAAATTTCTCACAATCATTTGATACCTGTTTACCAAAGTGTGAACCCATGTTGGATTTTCACAATACTGTTCATTGTGACTACTCATAGATCCCTACATAAATTCTAGTCTTTGAGTATAAATCAAAATTAAGTGCTCAGTTTAACATTTTATGTATGTGTATTTATGGAGGGTTGTGGTGGGCTGGCAATTTTACAATTCTAAGTTCTTTATCTTCTATCACACAAATTCTCACAGAGCTGCAAACAGCCTGACACAGCTAAAAACTGCATTCAGTGTCAAAATTGGGAAACAAACAAAAAACAAATAAATAAACAACTGAACTTGAATACAAAACATATTGGTTGCTATTATTATCATCAATCATCAACTTATTTAACATTATTTAAATTACATTAAATTATTGACAAACTGCTAAAAAGACTGTATGAAATCACGACCTACTGGAGCCTCACATTAGCAGGTCCATTACTTTCGAAACTGTATTCAGGTTTCCAATTGTGTTTCAGAATATTATTCTAAGCATGTGATGTGGCAGTAATGAACTTTTCCTTCTGTCAGGAATACCTGCAATATTGTAAGGCTCACAAGGAAGCACTTTTAGTTTTATAAATAGTTTTAAACCCTACTCTGACATGTAATGTATGCTCAGTGAGGTAAAATGGAAAACCATAAAGCAAGTGCATTTATTTACGAGCAGGTTAGCTGGCAGTTCTAGCAGAGGAATAAGAATATGTAATACTGTTTTTAAGACATATAAAAACACCAAAAAAAAATAAAACAAGAAAACATGGCCAAAGATTATGAACTGGTTTTTGCTAAAACAAACAAATAATTAAACAATGCCTGACTAGCTAAATTAGCAAAGAAAAATTATGATGGTTGAACACAAAAAAATACAATTACCTAATATTTCTTTCAATAATCTTCTGTTTTAGAAAATTAGCTTCAATTCTCCTTGATGGCCTATGTGCAAAAGCAACCTACACATAAAATCTACAAATACATACCTGGCTGACTCTTCAAATTCTCACAATCTATGTAGTTCAGTTACACAAAAGCATGGCAAAACATCTGGTTACATTTTTACAAAGCCACCATAGTTCACACTTTCTAGAAATCTTACTGGGATTTCTGTCTGAGACAGAGGATACTGAAGTATAAAATTAAATCGAACAATTAGTGTTTATCACAGTGATTGAATTGCTTTTGCTTTCTAAAGATGAAATGTACAACATATAGCTTAATATAACTTTTCATGAATTCTGGTCAAATGTTATGAAAGGCATCAAGGCAGAGACAATAGAAAATTCTTTCATTTTACAATAGCGTGACTTTTTCTGTCCATTGTACATAGCATATATAATATGTCGTCCTATGATTTAAAATAAGAATAGCGGGATCTCTTGATAAACATACATCACTGAGTATTATACTGCCTTGAAAATACTTAGTGAAGATTAGACTTAGACAAAAGTAATCGCAGTAAACAATATGTACATACACAGAACCTGATCATAAAAGCAATAGTGGAAAATCAGTGCAACCAAATGAAGTGAGACCACTGCTGCGCTAATAGCTTGTCCTCGCTTCACTGACCCGTATTACAAGCATAGGTTACTTAGAAAGTAAGGATGAAGGGGAAGAATGGATTTAGTGAGCTTTACTCTCCCCTTAATCTTCCCAAAATTTCTGCATGATTAAATGGTTAAGATGTACACAAAGTTATTAAGATTTAATGTGAAATGATCGATTCTAAAGAAACTTTACAACTCAGAATCTTTCACAGCGTTGCTGAACCAGACATCTGGAGTTGAATGCCTCTAAAAGCTACCTTACAGATAGTTTTAACATGAAGTGGTTACAAATACACTATGTATATGAAACATCTGTTAAAACATTGTTTCATATACATGACACATTGTTCTGTGGTGCACTTGAAATAGGATTATAGACTAAAACATATTTTTAAACCCATTCATGCAAGAGAGATACATGTAAGGCAAAAAAGTCCCAAAATAAAACATATTTTTTAAGATTTACCACTATTTTACCATTCTCAACCATAGATATAAAAACTCAAACACATGTAGCTTCACTGGTGTTGAGGCTAATAAATAAAATAGCCATAACTGTGTAATAGACATCACACCCTTGGTTCCTTTCACCACCAATGTAAAGAAATCTGTGTCAGAAAAATTCTCTACAATGTACAACCACTCCAAACAACTATGTTTACATCTTAGCCATCGAGTTCTGTAGAAATTTTGACAAACTGGAATTCCCCTTCCACTTGTTTCAGTGTTATTGCCAGGCCAAGTATACATTTAGAATCAATACCATTCCATTTGTGGTGCTGCTTTTTTTAAAAAAATGTGTTATCAAAGATATAGGGGTAAAGACTATTTGTGTGCTGGTTGCTGGATCTTAGTTTGTTGAGAACCTTATATCTACATTTCATGGTAGAAATTCTTTCACAGCAGTAACCAGTCTACTAAAAAGTACAGTAGATATTGCCATTCTAATGCTGTATTACATCATAGTTGAGTGAAAAGTGAATCTGGGGTTTACCAGGACTGTAATATACTGGTCATTTGCTATATCATGGCAACACTCTCTGGGGTGCAGTTCAGGTGTGCAGAGGTGCTGCTACCTCCAGGAGACTTCAGGCTGCGGGCACTGCAACCCATGGCCACACCCTTGCTGATGCCCCCCACAATGCCTCCTGAGCCTGGACGATTGTGTGGAATGCGTCTGACAAGGGCGGCCATCATGGTGTCGTTGTTGACAGTGCCAAACTCATAGGTGAAGGTGCCATAGTAGACCAGGATCAGGATTGTGAAAACCCACTCACAGATTGCAGCAGCATGTTGCAACACAAAGCTCTCATGAATAAAGAAAATACCACCTTGAAGAAAAAGAGAGGTGATGTTAAAGAGCCCAACGTAAAAGCAATAACGAAAGACTGAATCGTTGTTTCATTTTCTTTTATCATGTCTTCATTAACTTAACAAGTGTTTTACATAGACTAGCAATTTATATTTAAAGACTAAAAATAAGTTTGTGTTTACATTTGTAGTTCAGTTCCCTTGTTCCAGACAAAAGCAGAAACTAATATATTGTTGCATTTTTGTGGGCAGCAATGGCAGCATGTGCACAATGCAAGACTCAACCTCCTACCAGGATTATATGTGACATTACTATTATTTGCACTTCTGCTTACAAGCAAAACTGCAATAAACTGGCTGTTTACTTGTACTCTGCACAGCCTCTGGTGTCTTACTGCTTTTTTCAAATGTCAAAAACAAGGTGCAATAATATATGACTGAGCTTTAAAGCAGCATATGATGCAGTGGTTTGTGTGTATATACAATATTTTACAAGCCCATTCCAAAAAGTTGGGACGCTGTGCAAAATGTAAATATAAACAGAATGCAATGATGTGCAAAGAATTTTAAACAACATATTTAATTGAAAACTGCTGCATCCACAAATGCAAGTTAAAACTGTAACATGCAAAGAAAAAAACGTATAAAAAAGGACCCAAAAATGCTGCCGCATTCTCTGGGGCCAAGTTCATTAAGATGGACTGAGGCGAAGTGTTACACAATGTTCAATTGTTCAATGTTCAATGTTCATTGTATGAGCCGATACAATATTGAAATGTTTTAATTGAGCTCTGTTAATTACAAGTGATTCTCTGTGTCACAGTAATTACATTTTATCTGCATTATTTTTGGTTATGTTTCGTAGCTCCTAGCTGCAGGCCTAGAAAGTATGCCAAACAGTCACCTTGTTACACCAGCATGTGATGTAGTCAAACCTATATATGCTTGAGACACACTGCAGTCTTCTTGCTTCTCACTTACCAGACTGAGTAATTTGTTAACTCGGTGCAGCCCAGTGACTTTGTTGGAGCTTCATCAGCACTCCATCAGCAGTGCTCAGTGTCGCAGCAGAAGCTTAATGGCCAGCCTGCTTTTGTGCAGCGCTTGAGCTAGGTCAGTGCCCATTGGCTACATTTCACTGGGAAACGGAGGACCTTCCACAGATTTTTGCTGCTATACACTCTCAGAAATAAAGGTAGTCAACTTCCACTCGGGCAGTATCCCTCTTGTCAATGGGGTGGGACCCATAAGGCTACATCTCAGTACTTTTAGTCAGGAAACATAATTGTACCATAATCCATTGAAATTATATTTTCTAAGTTGTATTTACTCACATCCTGTCTCGTCTCCAGGCCTTTTTTATTGTTCTGTTTTAAAACATTAGGTTATGAAAAGGTACAAACGTTTACTCCACACACCCCATCTCGTCTCCAAGTTTTTTATTTTATTTTTCTGTTTTAAAACATTAGGTTATGAAAAGGTACACATACGTACTTCTCACCTGCAAAAACATATTTAAGGTTCACAATTGGACCTTAAAACCATTATTGTACCTTTGAGGAACATTTACATTGTTTGTACCTTAATGAAAAAAAAAGTACAACACCTTTATTTCTAACAGTGTACTGCATGCTCTAGTTCTCATTACTGCTCACCTGTCCTCCCAAAACAGCACTTGCTTCGCTTACTTCAGGTAAGCTATGGCACTGTGTTACGGCTTGCCAGTCCTCCTCAAACAGCCCCAGCTTTGCCACTACAACTAAGCTATAGTGCTATTAGCTGCTTGGAAATGGAGGACCTTCCACAGAGTTTTGCCACTATACTGACTCCCACGACTCGCTGGCTCTCCTCAAACAGTGCTTGATTTGCAGTCAGTGTCCAAGCTGCATAAAAGGGCTCACAGCTACATGTCACACTGTTTGCCCATCTTAGCTTGGATTGGATCAACCTCCACGAAGTGCTGGTCTACTCTTGAATGAACTGCGCCATTATACTGCTGACTCAGTATAGGAGAGATTAGCAGGGCTGGAGGCTGAAAACGATGCAATGCTCCCTGCTTCTGCCAAGAGCAAGCATGCAAAACGCAGCCTAGAGAACAAGCCAATGGTGCTGTGGAATAAAGGCAGATCCACAGCTGGGTCAGACATGAAAGAAAGGGAAGTCCATCTGCAGTTTGGTTGAGCAGGTGGACTCACTCTTCTCAGGCATGGTCCAAATCAAGCAAAAGTAATTGCTAAGGGCCTTAAGAGGCCAGCCAGGACAGCCCTGTAGCCCTGCTGGAACCCACAGAACACACTTTGCCTGCTATGTTCGATGTTGTCTCCACAGCGGTGTCAAACACCCGAATATTGCTTGATTCTAGACACTTCAGGGCCTCAATCTGCCTTTCTATCACAGGACTCCAGCAAGAACGCCAGCAGAACAGGTTTACAATGCTGTGAAGGTTGCCTTGACTAAGCTAATGCTGGACACCTTCGTGGCCCAGATGCAAAAAAACAGCACCTTTTTTCGAATGCACAGCCACTGAGTAGAAATTCCCGATGCCTGTGTGTCAGGATTTTATTGCTGAGTTTACAGCTGCCTTTCAACTTGGCCTGCATATGCCCAGAATGAACATGGCAGGACCTTCTTCTGGTGTGGACGCGGAGGCCCATGGCCTTGCCTCCATGCCCGTGGTGGATGCCTATATTGCCTTTAAAATGGTTTCACCAAATGAAGTGCTGTGCCCCAACCCACACTGCCCTCAGCAATGGGTGCAGACCCACCAACAAGCACCTTTGTGAGAGCCCATGATCTCATGATACAGTTACGAAGACTGACTAACTCGTTGTCCCTTATGCTCCTCGCCCTGAAGAGCATGCTACAGAGGACTGACAGGACTACAGAACAGCACCTGAATACGGCCCATTTGATAATGGGCTAATTAACTCAAACCACTTGGTAACCAGCCCTGTGCATGGCTGATGGCAGGTTTGGCTAGCACAAACATTTCTATTTGACTCATGCAGGGCCACACTTCGAACTCTGTTGCTTGTGCCTTACAACGTGTTTAGCCTGGCTGTTAAGCAGGCTTTCGATTGACGTTCAACCATCGAAGAGTCACGGTGAGACAGCTAAAGGCACTCACCACTGATGGATCTTGGCTGGTTCCGCTACTTATGTCAACCCAACACCTAGAATATTGGAAGTAAAGCATCAGACCAATGGGTTGTTCTTTTACAGGGGTTCTTCTGATGGGTGCAAGACAGGTGGTCCAGAGAAGATGCCAGTCACCATATTAACGCTCTTAAGATGCAGGCAGTCTAGCTAGCCATAGAATATTTCTCCCAGCTCTGCAAGGGAAATGCCTTTAGTCTGCTCAGAAAACCTGTCTACAGTTTATCATATGAACCATTAAAATGGCACCAGGTTATGCACGCTGCTGAACCTCACATGACACCTGTGGACAGGTACTCACCCTAGACTTCTCCTTGAGAGCAACAGAACTAGCAGGTACGAGATGGGAGATGCCCCCTCACGTCACACTTGGAACTCCAACCACTGGAAACTGCAAAGAACATGGCTGGGTTGATTTGGCTGCTGTTCTGGGAGGCATGGGACATAGTTACTTCACCGAACACGTCCACTGCCAATTCTGGTTTTCAGAGCAAGCCCAAGATAGCCATTTGGGTGAGGACGCTCTGGTGCGCGAGTGGCTGAAGGCACTGCTGTATGCCTTCCCTCTGCTACCCCTCATTCTTGCACTGTTGAAAAAAGTTTGATGGGAGAGACATCATGTCCTCCTAGTAGCCCCATGCTGGCCATATCAGCCATGGTCCCTTCTGCTACTGCCTCTGGTGCAGGGGTGTTCTGTGGAAAATCTCTGTGCGCTAGGAGTAGGAGGAAAAATCGATTCTTAGATGCATCGCGATGCAGACGTGGACGATTCTGAATCGATTCACAAAAATTGATTTTCTAAATTTTAATTGATAATGTAATGTTGACGGGATGCAAAAGGCAGAACTTGGAAGCGCGGAGGTGCAGTGCCTGGACAGTCACAAAATCTACTCGTGCTCTGTATGAGGGTAGAGGGAGGGCATTTACAGACTGGTGTTCAGACCCATTCTTGTCTCCATCGAAGGAGTGCTTTCCTTTTGCAGTCCCTGCTTGACAAGTGAAGGACGACCTCTACCACAAAAATTTACGTGGCAGCCCTGGCAAGCTACTTGGCCTTATGAAAAGGCTCCTTTTTGGGCTCCCATAAGGTGGTGACCACCTTTCCTAAAGGGGGTGGAGAGATTGCATTCATCTCAATCACTTGGGACCTCCCCTTGGTGCTGCATTGTCACATGCCCTACGAACCTCAGGCTGCTCTTAAGCAGGTTTTCTTAGACAGCCCTTTTGCTCGCTGTTTCTACAATGTCTGTGCTGCTGCGTCAAATGGCCTAGCACTGCCAGTTCTGTCCCTGAGTACAGGCTGCAGCTGGGGCAGTCCTCGTGAGAAAAGTCTGTGAAAAAAGACCAGCCTCTGGAGGAAGACTGCAGTGTGACTCAAGCATTTATTGGCACTATATATATTGGCTCTACATGTATTACACGTTTTTATTTCCAAGCCTAGGCTGACTTTAAGTTATGTTCTTTTCTAATGAAAGTTATGCACACAAGCCTTGAGTATGAATGAGACATTGGTCTCAACCTGTGCTCCTATATAAATAATTATTAAATAAAACTACCTGCCAAACTTAGCATGTTGAACCAGATTGAGTGGGCTGGAACATGGCCAACTGCTAAGTAGACAAAGCAGTTTGTCAACTGCTGTTTTACACAAACATCTTGCAGCTTACAATGAACTGAAAAGCAATGAGTCTAAACTGAGCGATTTGTGTAAGGATACTGAGAACGAGGGACACCAGCGCTCCAGCTGACACACCCGCTCGCACGTGGGCCATCCAGTAGTCCAGTGCTGTCTCAGCAATGCGGTATGTCAGCACGCACTGTAGACACACGAACATCAGGCCTGCAGGAAATGCCACACCAGCCCCCACATAGTGCAGAGTCCTAGCATGGTCAACCTGAGAGATAGAGAGAGAAAGAGGATAAAACAGACTGTAAACACTCTAAGACATAAACTAAAATTAGGGGTGCACAACATATTGGCAGCCAGTATATTATTTGCTGATAAATGGGAAAACGTACTAATTACTGATGCTGAAATTACAGCTGATAATTACAATAGCTGTTTAACCTGTTTTTAGCTTGTGCATGCAGTGAAGCACATTTTCTCACTGGTGATGGTGGTGCAAGGACGGAAAATACATATTTTTTGATTTTCTAAGTGAAACGTTAACACGTCCTCTACAGGGAACAAACTTAAATATGTTACTTAAATATAAACATGTTGAATACAGCAAATAAACAATAAGTACGCATTATGTATATAAGCATATGCATTATGCAATAAGTATAGCACTATGTGATATTTTTCTTAAGACTGAAAGAAGTAGCATCACTGAGTATTGAGAAAAAAGGAACACACTGAAATATGGTGTGCGTGTGCCACTGCTGGAGTTTTTCGGACCACATCATGTCTTTATGAATTAACGAATTTCCACCAGAAAGGTCTCCAAATCCCCAAGTCCTACAACGTAGTGTGATCTATGTACAGGATGTTTATTTATTTTCACTTTGAAAATTAACAAAACACATATTTGACCAGGGGCACCGAAACATTTGCATACAACTGCATGCATGCAGACCTTGTCCATCTGAAAGGTGTTTATATGGCTGGAGCAGGGGTAAGGTTTGTCCAGGTAACAAAATAAAAAAGGTCTCCTAACTATGTAAAATATTGACATACAGAAATTTTTAATGGGCAATTCTTCCCCTTACTGATTGAAATTCAAGGGCATTTTATATACAAATGAAAGTCCTGCAAAACACACCAAACATTTTAGCTAATCAGAATACATTAAGTTAAATGATGTCTGTTATAAAATTTTAAAATGCTTGTATGCCATTTTATTACATTTATATTGTCATTTTTTGTTTTGAATACGTGGGAAGTTTTACACTTTGTCCCAGTTATTTCTGATCTTGAGGTCTAAATAAGAGTAAGTGAAGTGTACCACTAAAGCAATTATTTCTGTTACAGAATGTATGGATTAATCCATTTAATATATCTATATACTTTAAAAATAATTTACTTAGTATAATTATTATTGGTGCATCCCAAGTTAAAACAAAGTTCAGTCAGGGATTGGGAGTCAGGAATGAATTCTACTCTATTCACAATGAAAAGTTCTTTTCACATTTCATGCACTCACCTGGAAGTTGCCCACCATAATAAGCCCCAGGGCATTTATGCAGCCAGACACCATAGCACTTGTGTTGACCCAGCACTGGTGGCTGTGCTCAATCACCTGAGCATAGCGCAATATACACACCATCACCACTTTAGAGAGAAAGAGAAAGAGACAGAAAGAGAGAAATGATAAATCTGTGGAAATCATAATATTGTGAAAACATGATCAAAGAAAAAGAAAAGGACATTTAAATGGCATTATACAAATGACTGAGAATAGCTAATACTCTCATTGGACACTATTACTTAGATGCCACGTCTGAGAGGTGTCTTATTAAGATTTGAACAGATTTGTAGAAACTTGATTGAACTCAAACAGGAGGCAGTATTAAGTTTTTTCTATAAAATGCTGAAAGAAAACAGCACAAATTTATTTCTAGTATTGCGATGCCCTTGTTGAATTCAAGTTGCTTTATCTGCACTTACCCATAAAGGCCCCAACATTGCCAATAAGACTGAAAAGACAGCTCTCAGGTGGGTAGCAACCACACTTGCTGTAAAAAACAAGAAATTAAAAAATTAGTGGTGGACTGTTCTGACACTATTATACACAAAAGGAAACAAATTGCAAGTTAAAACAACTTAAGAATTAGGCCATCCATTAAGGATCTAAACAGAATCTTACTAAATCTGACAAAAATCTGAGACTTAACTGGAGATTTAGTGTGTTTCAAAGCACATAACTAGGCTCAAAAAGAAGAACGAACCTGATGAGAGGAATGTCCTGTGGAGCACAGCATGTCTTAGGGAAGCCCCTCTTAGCTGTCTCCTTGCTACATGTTACATTATATGTCCTGCAAAGCATGCATGAATTAGTGATAGAACCTGACCTACACTATTAACTACTGTTCAATTTGAGCTATTTGAAGGCATATGAAAGTTGATGACTTACCAATTTTCTACTGGACAGACATGGTGGTTCATCACTGCCATGGCATATCTGAATTAAAAGGTTTTATCTTCACGTTGTCACATTGCAACATTTATGATTAAAGCTTTGCTGGTTTACATATGACAAACATTTACCAGTGACAAAACCTGCATAATTTAAGTAAACAACATCATAGGAAAACCTTTCCCTTACAAAGAAAAAGACTATAGGAAAATATAAGACCTGTGTAGTGCCCCACAGTAAACTATAGTAATCACTCTAATTTATTATAACAGTCTTATAGGAATCCTGCAGAAATTCCTGCAGTAATACTACAGATTGGGCTAGCAACTATGCATCCTGTCATCTTTCAAAAAGTAGATATATAATCATTTTACAGACTTACACTATCCATATCCCTGTGATCGAGAAGGCAGACAGGCTGACTGGCAAGACGATCCAGGCGGTCATTAGGTAGCTTTTGTGAAGCCTGTGTCAAAATCATTAAGGGGGTGTGGGATCAGGGGTACGGTGATATGATGTTAGCCGGAACCAGATGAAGCCATGCAGTGCAGTGGATTTAAGAGGACTTGGGGGATAGCGCAGCTCCTTTAACTACATTTGTAAGCCTAAAAAGGCTGTTGAGAGAAACTTGACGGTTTGCACCAATGAGTGACAATATCGGTTCCCAAAGTCCGTCCTGAGAACCCCATGCTCTGTATATTTTTTTCTGTTTCCTCTACTTCCCCACTCATGATGAGTGTGCTTATTATTTAATAGGATGATTTAGACGTGCTAAATAATGCACAAATACATGCATAGTATGGGGCCCCCAGGACTGGGATTGGAAACCCCTGAGTTACAAGGACATAAATTAAACATCATCTTAGAATGATCCTTCATCGACGTATGACAGGTTGATATTAAATTGGGGTCTGACTTGTGCTTGAACATAAACGCAACACAAGACAAATGTCAACAGACCATTTAAACTTAAATAATGTGCTCCTACCTACTAGCTAACTAACAGGCATTCTGTGCATGCTTAATGTGTGCTTCAACCGTTAGATGGATAAATTTCAATTACAAGATAATGAACAGGCAACAAAATACTGAGAGGAATGGCACAGACTATGTTGTACTTTACTGCTGCGTTAGCTAGTGAGCCGAAAGCTAATCTGCTTGTCGCTGCAATTGTAAACAGCTTGCGTAAAGATTCATCATTAAAACAGACATTTATATTACCTTTACGCGAAAAATAATTGTTAAAGGTATATCATTTATCGCATGTCTGTTATTACTGTGTAACGTAACATAAAATGAGAAAACACTACCTTGCCGCAGGCCCTTTCGCCCATCAGCGGATGCTTCTGCCGCATGTTACCAAGCAGTCTCGATGAATGTGCGGTGCATCTTTCAGACATCAGAGGGCGTATGAGGAAATGATAAAGCAAATACGGATCTTTGTGACAAGAAGCTACATTTATCTTAAGACAAGCGAACAAGCTCAAAATATGCTGATTATGTGTCCCCATGTGTGTGTATATTTTTTGAACTGCGCGTAAAATAAAAAATTCATGTGGTACGGTGTGGGCCGCGTACGGACAACATGTCCCAGAAGGCCACGACGTGAACGGAAGCAGTGATGGGAGGTCAAAGTTTAGAGTTCACTAGCGAAATCAGAGGCTGTGTTGTTTTGCTACAGGTCGGTGAGCTGTGCTTACAGTCTAAGGCGGCTGCAAGTTTTCGATTTCGATATGTTTCATTTTCAGTAATTTTGCGCTGGACCATATAGCTCTCAAAGAGGAGAAATATAACTAGCTACTATCCCCCGTTCAGTGTCTCCTCTGTTTTCCCAGCATGAGTTCCCGACGACCAGACAGCTTTGACGGCTTAGGTTACAGGGGTAGGGAGGACCCGTCGTATGCTGGTGGCTACTCGGGAAGGTCGTTTAATAATTCTTCCAGTATTGATCTTCAGCACTGGGTCACCACACCTCCAGATATCCCTGGCAGCAGAAATCTGCATTTTGGCGATAGCACGCCACAGTTTGAAACGGCCCTGGCTGGAGCCGGAGACGACGTTCAATCAGCTGCTCCACCGCCTGGTAGGTTTGGATAAAGAACATTTGACTTTATTGACAGCAAGGCAGCACAGTGACCTGACAAAGCCTGAGCATACCAGTGTAGTGTTTTATAATACCCATATCAGGCCTCCTGTTATAGGCGGTCCAAATTTGGCTTCTGCTTTACGCTCATTTGTTCGTAAAGTTGTTGTTAAGGTCAGACAATTCGGCTGCCGACCTATTGGGTGCGTTCTTGTACTGTCGGAGTTGGATCTGAGAACTTCTCTGCGTGCCGGGTGACGTGCGGAAGTGGCCGTGTTGTGCCAAATTCGGCACCCCCGCCAGGAGAAGAACCCCTCTCGGGAGCGCGCGCCAACGTCTTTTAATCGAAAGCGGTAGTCCGCTTTTACTTTACTTATATCGACTAGAAGAAGGATCACGTTAATTTCAGTCAACAATGAAGTAAATCGGTGTTTTACACAGTGTACACAGCCCAGGTGTTCCTCTTAATTACAGTGACTCGAAAATAATAATAAAAAAAGGATAGTGTTGTCTGCATACACCGCTGCTTGCTTGTTTTACAACGTTGTAGTGTACATTGACCTCGTATGGAACAGAACTTGCACGTTGCTATTCCTTGACAATGAAATATACGTATCTCGCGCACTCATGTTGCGTTTCTCACCAATCTGTTTTAAGTTCTTTACACTTTACACTCTTATAACTGAGAAATCGTGATAGAAATCTTGCCAAAAAGGCAGTGACTTGCAAAGAAAAAGCTCTCTAACGCAACCCATTATAAATCTGGATACACTGGTATTGCTGCCATGTAACTTGAATAGATACATACTGGTTGCAAATATATGCTGCTAAATCATTTCATAATCGACTCAAAAGAAAGAAAGTTATAGGGGAATGCTTTATATCCCCACTAAAAAGGACCATTAGAAACCATTAGTGTTAAAACCTAATGGTTTTGCTTTCAAATGGGAATTGGCTTAATGGTTTCCAATATAGACCACTAGTTTCCTGTAGAACTCCTTTAGATCCCATTCGGAAACCATTAAATGCATTTAGAATCAGCCATTGGTCACCTGTTAAACCATTATGATACTTAACATTGTGATATCAACCCTTTTAAAAAGCCACAACACATTACAAAACCATCAGGAACCAACGGAAACACTTAAGGGTTTCTATGGGTTTTTTCAGCAGGGATGGCTTGCCAGGAAATGCATCCCATGTTTTGCTAAATTGTTGTTACAGCCATGAAAATGTATTGCAGAAAACATACACTGGCGCAAAGTATATTATCACTAAAATATTTCAAAATTATGTACATAGAAAGAAAGTTACAAATGGATGCTTTTTAAGACCGTCAATCTGCACCCTCTCTCAGATCTGTCCATGGTGTTGTTGTATCTATGACACTTGCATAGGTATTACATATTGGTCATATATATGTATTACTAAAATGTATTATAGTTGTGTACACAGAAAGAAAGTTACAGGGGGATGCCATTTAAGGCAATCCACCTGTCAGAAAATGCACCCCTTCTTAATATATTGCTACGTTGTTATTACATTCATGATATTTATACAGGTAACACATATTGGTTCCAAATATGTGTGACAACAAACATTTCGTAGTTGTGTCAGCTGAAAGAAACTTACAGAGGGATGCCTTTTAAGGTGGTCTACCTGCCAGGAAATGCACCCCCACTTATATCTAGCTACATGGTTATTGCATCCATGAAACTTGCACAGGTATCACATGTTGGTCCCAAATATGTGGGACTAAAAGCATTTCATGTTTGCGTCAATAAAAAGAAAGTTATAGAAGTGTGCCATTTAAGGCAGTCCACCTGCCAGAAAAAGCACCCCCTCTTAAATCTGGCTCCATCAAATGCATTTAGAATCAGTCATTTGTCACCTGTTAAACCATTATGATCCTTTACATTGTGATATCAACCCATTAAAAAAAAAAAAACCTTATATTGGTATCACTCATGCAGATATCACATATTGGTCCCAAATATGTACATGCCTATAATAATAACAACACAAAAAAATATGATCTTGCAGGTCTTTATTGCACACACTCATTCAAGATTCAAAGTGATAGTGAAAAAAGTGAACCCTTGAAATTAATAGCTGGTTGACCCCCTTGGCAGCAATAACCTCAACCAGGCGCTTCCTGTAGCTGTGGATCAGACCTGCACATTGTTCAGGAGGAATTTTAGCCCATTCTTCCTGGCAGAACTGCTTTAGCTCTGTCATGTTCCTTGGACGCCTCATGTGTACGGCTCTCTTCAAGTCAATCCATAGCATTTCTATAGGGTTGAGATCTGGGCTCTGACTTGGCCACTCCAAAAGTCGGATTTTGTTTTTCATAAGCCATTCTGTTGTGGGCTTGCTCCAGTGTTTTGGGTCATTGTACTGTTGCATCACCCAACTTCTACAGAGTTTCAGCTGATGTACAGACACTCTCACATTATCCTGTAGAATTTTTTGATACACTTGGGAATTCATCTTCCCCTCAATGATTGTAAACTGGCCAGGCCCTGATGCAGCAAAGCAGGCCCAAATCATGTTGTTCCCTCCACCATACTTTACGGTTGGGATGATATTTTCATGGTGATGTGCAGTGCCTTTTTTACACCAGATGTAGTGCTACATGTTCTTTCCAAATAGTTCAGTCTTAGGCTACGTTTACACAGCAGGTAAAAGTGGCCCTAATCCGATCTTTTTCCTCAAATGTGACACAGATGTGTCATTTGTGTGGCTGTGTGAACAGCAAAAAACGCATTGAATCTGACATTTTCAATTCCGATTTGAGACACTTTCATATGTGGTACTGAAATCCGATCTGTATCCGACCTGTATCCGATCTGCGGCAGTGCGACTCTGTCTGAACAGCCAGATCGGAATTAATGCGACTTTTATGTCAGTCCAACTCGACATTCGTCATAATTTCGTGCTGCTGAGACTCAAATATTTAGTCTGATGTTTCTGTACCCAAAAAATAGAAGAGACTCATCAAACCGCTCCGTGTTTGAAGAGGTTTTGAACGAAATGGCCGAACGCGGCCGGAGGAGACCGAGGCTGCAGCGTCAGAGAACAGTTAAAAGAATCCGAGGACACGAACCAAAGAAGTGGCCGCGCCCTTTGTACGGCGAACTCGAACACACTGTGGGTGATGAGTCCAGCTGTCAACCACTGGAACTTTATACTCGCTCCTGTGATGCTGGCGAAGATGAAACTGAAAGCTGCGGGAGAGACTGGCGTTCACTGGCTGGCATGACTATTTACCTCTGGACGAGCCGCCACGTGAACCATTGTTCTTTTGCGCTTGCAGGGTCGGTTTAGGAGCGTGATCTGTTCAGACTGATGTCGCATATAGGTCACATTTAAAAGACAGCCAAACAAAAAAATCGGATTTGGTGAGAAAATCAGATTTGGGCCACTTTTACCTGCTGTGTAAACGTAGCCTTAGTTTCATCTGTCCACAAAACATTTTGCCAGTACCGTTGTGGAGTGTCAATGTGCTCTTTTGCAAACTTCAGGCGTGCAGCAATGTTCTTTTTAGTAAGCAGCGGCTTCCTTCGTGGTGTCCTGCCATAGACACCCTGCTTGTTCAAGGTTTTACGGACTGTAGACTCAGGAACACAGATGTTAGCCTGTACCAGTGACGCCTTCAAATCTTTGGCTGTCACTCGGGGTTGTTTCTTTACCTCATTGATGAGTCTCCGTTGTGCTCTTGGGGTCATTTTGACTGGGCGCCCACTTCTTGGCAGAGTAGCCACAGTCCCAAATTGTCTCCATTTGTAGATTGTTTGCCTTACTGTAGACTGGTGAATTTCTAAAGTCTTTGAAATCACTTTGTAACCCTTTCCAGCTTTATGTAAATCAGCAATTTTTGATCGTAGATCCTCTGAAAACTCTTTGGCGAGGCATGGCTCACATACGTGTATCCTTCTTGTGCAGAGCAAACTCAAAATGTATCTCAATATGTTTTGAACATATTTCATTCACCTCTTCATAATAGTTTTTTGGCTTTTATGTCTTTATGAGGCTAGTAATCAGTTCCTTGAAAAGGACACTGTGACATGAGATAAGGACTTGTTTATGCCCATCTCCAGTCTATCCTACCAGACATGATACCTGCAAGTGCTCTCACCCCCACCACTTTCGTTTTCTCTCTCTCTCTCTCTCTCGCTTTCTCGATTCTTTTAGCTTGCTGATTTTCTTAAAGCTTTTCTTTAGTTAAGCCTCTTGAGGTCATGTGTTTGTGTGAACATGATAACCTGTTGAGATTATTTTTTCTCTATTTTTGTCCGTTCTTTTATTTATGTTTTCCTCTTTTGTTCTGGTAAATCTGAAAAACATTTTTCTTACTAAATTTATAATTTATTCTACTTTTACAACCCATTTTCCAAAAAAGTTGGGATGCTATTCAAAATGAGAAATTTTATTGTTTTCTTGCTTCCTATAGTCCACTATTAGCTCCTTGGTCTTGTCGATATTGAGAGAGAGGTTGTTCTCCTGGCACCAGTGTGTCAGGAAGCTGACCTCCTCTCTGTAGGCCTCCTTGTTGTCATTGGAGATCAGGCCCACACTCGTGGTGTCATGTCTGGCTGAGCAGTCGTGGGTCTACAGAGAGTATATATAATATAAACAAAAACACAGACTTATTTTGCTGTGCTTTAAGCTTTAGCTATAGCCACTTTCCTCCCATCTCTGTCAGAAAACTTTTCTTCAAAAGTAGAACAGTTTCCTGTCTCTCAGCGTTCAACTGTTTTACGAGGCTGAAGTCAGCTTCTTATTCACCAGCTTCTTGTTCGAATTTTCCCATTCCACCTTAAATTAAAAAATGTGGGACGGGAAAATTCGAAAGAGAAGCTGACTTCATCTTTGCAACTTTTTAGTGTTTGACAGTCTTTCGTTGCAGATTTAACGTACCAGGAAACCAACTGCAGTGCTTGTTCGACTCCAAATGTTCGTCTTAAATCTTTCTCTTTGCCTTTCCGTTAGCTACTAGC